TTTTCGCCCCCCTCATGTCCAAATCGTGGCTCCGCCCCTGCATAGTTGCACTTACATGCTAGACAATTGGTTTATTGCTGATATAATTGAAAGAAAGAACCTTGGTCGTGTGTTGGGAGATCTAATGTTGGGGCCTTTAGTTTCATGCTATTTTTGGTGTATGCTTTTTTGGGATAGAAACGAGTTGAAGATTCGTTCTCCTAGAGCAAGCTAAATGTGATGGAGGAATAATATTTGCATGGATAAATATTTGTGAACTAATTACCTTTTGTGACTTAATTACATGGCGACAACTCGCCACACGCAAACATCAGAAATAGCGATGATCCACATTGTGCTCTTGTTAGTTGTAGTCATGTTCTCTATTCTTCAGACCACCCTCTGTTGGGCTCTCCTTAGTTGGAGTCACATTCTCTGTTCTTCAGACCGTCCTTCGTTCTAGAGACGCACAGGAGGACAACATTTGCTCGTCAAGATGATATCATGGCCGATCCAAGGTGACAAGGAGACATGGTGGCCTCTAGCTAGCCTTCATGTTGGATAGCCATCCCGTGGCTTCCCTGAGGCTCTCATAGCGCCTATGACCAGGAGTTCCTCTACACCTCTCCTTCCCATCAGTCCTCATCGTCCCACTTACCTGACCTCCTTGAGCATGTTAGTCCGAGATTAATTATGAGCTATTTCCATGATGTGTTGTGGTGTGAACAAGGTTATTTTCTCTCTCAAGATTTCCCTAACAGACCGGTTACCGGATTTGCACTGCTTCCCAAGAAAAAGTGTTACCTACTAATTTGACTGAAATTGAACATCAAAAAAGGATGAAATAACATCCGTATGCTACTTCTAACTTGTAGCATCCCAATGTGTGATGTTATCGATCCTTCGACTGCGTGTCATGGACTCATGGTGTTGTTACCGAATCCTGCCCACCTCGTAATTTTTGTGATGCTCTCTCTCTCTCTCTCTCTCTCTCTCTCTCTCTCTCTCTCTCTCTCTCTCTCTCTCTTGGGAGGGATACTAATACTAATAGCTGGCAGGATTTGTGATGAATTTTAAGTATGTTTTGTGGTTTACTGTTGAACTGAATGATCAAGTCCTATCTGCATTATGTAAGGCCTCACTCCATCTCTGTAAGTTTCCATTAATTTGGATGTGCATGCGTCTCTAAATCCATGGAGCTCGTCCTCTGACCCCGTCTCTCTCTCTCTCTCTCATATGGGTCCTTCGTGGTTTTAAAAAAGCAAAAAAGGAACT